GAGATGTGACAGTGGCTTATAAGTGATTGTCAAGGGCATTCGCTTGTGGCACGATTGGGCGCGTGTGAGGCACCTAAGTGGCCCTTGAGGAACTGCGACTAGTTGGGCATGCGCGTGGACTCGCGTGCGTCTGTGTCCTGTCCAGAGTTTTGGGTTCATCGCCTGGGCACAGTCACCAGTGAAGGCATATGACCTTGAAGACGGTCCGTATTGACAAAGGAATCATTGTGGCAGTTGGTCACAGGCACGACACCTCAGGGAGGCTGGCATTCGGTTAGGCTAGACTCCTGACAGGGCTAAAGAACGTGGTAGATACTGCACAAATCTAATAGCGCTACGCACTAATTCACGCGCAAGTTGCCGTCTCTACACCCACGGTGGACATACTCGGCAACAACGTTCGAATTTTTGACTAGGATAAGAATTTTATGAAGGAGTACTATAAGCATTGCTATCCCAGCCCTAATGCCACTAATAACGCCTGTGTATTACTGTGGTATAACGTATAGCGGGATAAAACCATCCACTGCAACGCTGATACCGGACGCGCTTATATTTTGGTGGTATGGTTTCATATTCGTTCAATTAGTTCTCAGGACTTATCTGTGGATACTCTTCGATGATTTTACGACTATCGTGGTTGGTTATAAATTACTGCTTTTCCAAAAGTGCTAAGGATTTTCTTAAGAAACTTGTAAAAAGAAGAAAAAGTGAGAGCCTGCAGTGTTTTTTTTCCGCAATTTCCTTTTTAGTCAATATGCCAAGTCTTCAACGGTGGTCCCAGTGAAACTGCCAATTTTTTGGCCTCAAACAAATTTGACTTTATCTTCTACACTGGCAGCTCAAGGGTCGGAAAGCTTGTTATGGCAGAAGCAGCTAAAAACCTTACTCCTGTCTGTCTTGAACTGGGTGGCAAAAGGTTAGTCATATGTCGTCATTCGAACCACTTGTTTAACCTCGCTGTCATAATTGGATCCTTGCAGCTCGAATAAATAACGCCATTTTTACTTGTTACTACGGTAAGCAATTATTACCTCCAGCGTCCTTAAAAGCGTTAGCACTGGGCTTGAACAAGATTCCTACCCTCTTGGCCTTTGCAGTTTCCTTACGCAGTGCTTCATCGATCACTGTCTATTTCACTTCGTTGGCAGTCTCTTATGCCTCTGAAGCCCATCAACAAATCACCATTTGACCTTCAGCTTACTACCATGCTATTTTATTCAATAGCTTTGGCGTATTTCTACCCTCGCACCAAGTCCACCTTTTTTTCCCATCTAAAACGGAGGTTTTCCTATCACCTTTGAAAAAGCCAACAGCTTATCTCGTTCTTTACCTTGGGGATCAGGCTTTGCTTGTTTCCGAATCCAATAGAACTCAACCGAACTTTGGTTGGCTGTTGTCTTTCAAATTTATTTAGGAGAACTGTTCATTTTGCATCATGGCTTACCATAAACCCATCCTGCCCTTGCCTTTTTTTTGCACAATATGTCTCGCCCTTTTCCCGAACAAGGAGTTTTTGCGAGGTGTTCTTCTGGTTCTTTGGTGTATCCAATTGAATGCCTTCAAATGACTGTTCTTCGTCTTGTCCGGGTGGTCACGGTAGTTATTCCAGTCTACGAAGAGACATCCCAGTGTTTTTAAACTACCTTTGGCACTTGCATACACAAAGGGATCCCCTCATCAAAATAGTTATCACAGTATTCTGAAAGGTTGACATAATAGATGCCATCTCCACCCTGTGAGGCCTCTTAGCTCAGCTGGTTAAAGCGTTGGCTGTCCTCAACCATGGCTCTTGCTGTCGTGGGTTCGAATTCCACCGATGTCACTAAGTTTTTAAAAAGTGTGTCCAGTAAGTCTCTATGATCGTCTCTACCATTACCAGTCGTCATCGTGTTGTCGAAGAAAAACTCGGCCAAGCATTTAAGTTTTAGTAACTATTAAGTTGCGCGTGGATGTTAGACAACTATACTTAAATAACTATTTTAGTAGGCGGAGTTATACTTATTATTGCACCCGCCAACATGGAAATCTATGGCTTCCTGCGGTTACTTTTACTCCCTTTAGTTTTGGTTTAGTTTTTCTTTAATTGTTAAATTTATTAGGTTAATTTTATTTATAGTTTTGAATATTTTAATTTTTAAGAGACTTTCGGTTGCTTTTTGGGCTCATCGTACTACAACATCTGTCGAACTTCATTAGAACCTATTGTGAATTTTTAAAAGTGGAGGATACGTCTATTTTTCATGGTTTTATTTTAATCTCTTAGTTTCGAGATAGAGTCGATATTGGTGTGCAGCCTATTTGCAGGTACTTTTCCGCTGTTCTTGTTTCCTATGGGTTGTGTTTGTCGTTTTAATTATCGCGCGCCGATGTTTGGTTATTTGAAAAACTATTTTCTGATTTTATACGCTCTACTTTTTAATTTATTTTTTCCTTCCTGTGATATAACCAAACCACAAAAACCCCTACTATCACCGCTCCCGTAAGGCAGAATCCTGGGACTAGTGATATCTGAGGACATTGGCCAACTTTATTGTTGCCCAAGCTTTCTGCAATCGCAGACACTTTTTATGCCTTCTAACCCGCATATTTTTTGTGGTTTTCTTCTTACGACTAGCCCAGTGTACATTGATGCCTCCGCTGATATTCCACTAACGGCGCGGCGCATAATGTGGGGCAAAACACTGAATGCTGGTCAGACATGCGTGGCACCGGATTACGTTCTCTGCCACAAGGAGGTTCAGGTAAGCCGGTTTGAACTTCATACTAACTGACGTTTAAAATTATTGCACGGCTCTGGGATGACCTTGATAGCATCTGTCAATTCAAAGGCAGAAAACAATGTTTTAGATGTAAAAGCACACTTTCTCGAAGCGTACGCGAACAGCAGGGGAATCTCGAGGACTTTCACTATGCTGTCAGTCAAACCACACCCTCTAGGTTT